AGAGAGAAGAAGAGAGAGAGAGAGAGAGAGAGAGAGAGAGAGAGAGAGAGAGAGAGAGGAAGGACGGATAGAGAGAGAGAAGTAAAGAGAAAGAGAGAAAGGACAGAGAGAGAGAGAGAGAGAGACCAAACGAAGCCGCCCACGCTACCCGCCCGTGTCCCAGCTCCACCCCCCCCCCACCCCGCCCCTCGCCCCTTCCCACCCCCCCTTCCCACCGCCCGTGCCGTGCTTTCCGCTGACGGGGACGGGATTACGGGCGTCTTCTGGGGTGACGTCAGGACACAAACCTCCGACGTGCACGGGCGCTGAATAAATAGACGAGCGAACGCCCCCGTCCATCTGTCTGCACGTCCTTTGAGGCTCTCGTTACGGGGCGGCGGAAGGGAAGGGCGCGCGGCACTGCACTCGGAAAAGGGTTACGTCGCTTTTCTCTTGTGTCTCTCTTTCTCTTTTTCTTTTTTTTCCTTTTTCTTTTCTTTTCCTTTTCTCCTCGTTTTTCTGTCTTTTTTATCTCCCTTTCTCTTTCTTTCTTTCTTTTCATTTTTCTCCTCGTTTTTCTGTCTTTTTTTTTTATCTCCCTTTCTCTTTCTTCTTTTTTCCTTTTTCTTCTTTTCCTTTTTCTCACGTTTTTCTCTTTCTTTCTCCCTTCTCTTTCTCGTTATTTTTTTTCTTCTTTTTCGCTTTCTCCTTCTTTCTTCGTTTTTTTTTTCTTTCGCTTTCACCTTTTTCCTCTTTTCTTTTCATCTACCTTCCTCTCTCTCGCTTTTTCCTTTTTCTTTCACTTCTTCCTTCTTTCTCTCTCTCGTTTTCACTTTTCTTTTTCTTTCTCCTTCTCTTTCTTTCTCTTTTCATCTTATCATATATTTTTTCTCCTGTTCCTTCTCCTTCTCTTTCTCTTTTTCTTTCTTTTATCCATATGTATATGTATATGTATGTGTGTGTATATGTATGTGTATATATATATATATATATATATATATATATATATATATATATATATATATATATATATAGAGAGAGAAGAGAGGAAGAGAAGAGAGAGAGAGAGAGAGAGAGAGAGAGAGAGAGAAGAGAGAAGAGAGAGAGAGAAGCGAGAGAGAGGAGAGAGGAAAGAGAGAGAGAAGAGAGAGAGAGGAAGAGAGAAGAGAGAGAGGAAGAGAGAGAGAGAGAGAGAGAGAAAGAGAGAGAGAGAGAGGTGTTACTCACTAATTCGCTAACGATTATATAATGTGTAAGCACAATTTCGCACGGCGCACACGCACACACGCACACACGGGAAACTAAGAAGCGTTACGTTATTCATCTGCACATATAATAAATTTAAGCTACAAAATATATATTCTTAAAGAAATGATATGTAATCAACATGTAAAAGAAAATGCTTCCATGATATATATTCTTAAAGAAATTATAAATGTAAACAAAGAAAAATATATAATATATATCTTAAAGAAATATAAATGTAAACAAGAAAATGTTTATAAATTATATTCTTAAAGAAATGATATGTAATCAAACATGTAAAAGAAAATGCTTCCACGATAAACATTCTTACACAAATAATAAAAGTAAACAAACAGAGAAAAAAGAAAATGCTTCCATGATATATATTTTTAAAGAAATGACAAATGTAAACAAACAAATAAAAGAATATGCTCCCACGATCCATATTCTTAAAGAAAAAATAAACGTAAACAAACAAATAAAAGAATATGCTCCCACGATACATATTCTTAAAGAAAAAATAAACGTAAACAAACAAATAAAAGCAATTCCCTCGTCGTCGTCTTGGAACATCTGCGAGCACTCTTGGCGTTCGTGACGTCACCGATGCCAGCGACGCCGCTCACGATGACTCAGATTGACCCAGGCGTGTGCATCGCTCGCTAATTATCCACTCATTAACACTTAGTTGCGCTCCTCCCTAGCCTTCCGTCGCGCCATATCCGGTGATCGGTTCCCCGGCGCCACTCCTTGCTACTCCCCCCCCCCCCCGCGCCCGCTGCGACCTTGCTGCCCCGACGCCCCTGCAGCGCTGTTGTCGGGGTGCGCGGCTTCCGTAGCGGGGCGGAGGGCGGGTCGGAGCGCGGGTCGGGTCTGCTGGGGCTCTGGCTAAGGCTAAGTATGGGGAAGATGGATGTGTGTGTGTGTTGTATGTTATGTGTATGTGTGCCTGTGTTTGTTTGTTTGTGTTGTTGTTGTGTGTGTGTGTGTGTGTGTGTGTGTGTGTGTGTGTGTGTGTGTGTGTGTGTGTGTGTGTGTGTGTGTGTGTGTGTGTGTGTGTGTGTGTGTGTGTGTGTGTGTGTGTGTGCAGTATATATCACAGTGAGTGCTTTTCGTGATTAATAAAGTCAAACAATCTGGAAATTTCGTGTGATCTTACGACACTCCACAGCAGGTGACCAATCTGGACATTCTCTTCCTTCTTTCTCTCTATCTCACTTCTTTCTCATCTTTCCCGTGTCTTCCACCACAGTCACATTACTGGTTTCCCCCCCCCCCCCCGTCAAGAATTCGCTTGATCAGTAGCCACTAAATGCTTCGTCTTTTGCACAATTCACGAATGTTGCTGACCACAGAGGAACCGGGCAACTGCAGCTCCTCGTCCACAGGGCCGCTGAGCTCACACTGGGCGAGAGGCACTAAAAGACACTGTTTTGTCTGGCGAGGAAATGCAGGATCAAACTTGTACGCGGAGGATCTAGGCGGATGTGAACGAGCATGAGAGGGGCGAAGAAGAGATACTTCGCTCACAACTGTTGATTTTGTGGGAATGATACGAAATATATAAACAAATGCTCGTTTCTTGAAGATGGTGCAATGAAAGGGTTAGACACTATTTTCTGTGGCGATTGAATGAAGGATCACATGATTAAACTTGCACTCCAGACGGATGGGAACGAACATGGCGGCAACAGAGAAGGATTGCTCGTCACATTAAAAAAAAAAAAAAAAAAATACTGGCTCGGCTTCCTTTTATCCTTGGGTGTGAAGAGAGGCGAGAGTACATTAATAGGGTACAAATTATAACTGTTGTGATAAAGGGTAATAGGTGACAGAATGCCGCTATCGCCTCGGTAATTATTGCGATAATTAAAGACAGGAAAGGAAATCTGTGGATGGTATATGCTATGCTGATTACACTTAGTACGATTAGCTTTTGATTTAGGATTTACGGTTATAACAATGATTGCGATTTCACCATAATGATGGATGCGATTGTGGCGTGCGTTGAGGTAGTGGTTAACAATTAAGGGAAAGCTAATAATAGATGCAATTAATGTTGCAACTAATGATGCTCGTTATGGAAATAATATCCACGAATTTATTTACTATAAATCTAGACGAAGATATTAATCCAGTTAAACCTTTTTTTATTTGACATTCCACACACCGGAAACAGAAAAGATACTATTGAAGTGGCACGAAAATTCACATGTAAACAAACTGTGTCGGATGTCCACCGTTCTCGATGCTGATGACGTCACGCCAAGAGGGGTTAATGGCGTAAAAACAAAACAATGTTTGATTAATTTTTCTGACGATAACAGTGGTATGCGTTCTAATTTTCGTCCTTACGGTCCAAGAGACTATAAAAAGAAGAGAAGAGAAAGTCGGCTTGCGAAGGGCTTTCCGTGGCCATTAAATAATACAATTTGACGGTTTGTTTCCTCGGGTAGCCAGCGAGCCATGGAGGTTGGGGGAAAAAAACTAGATATAGAGTTGACTAGATATATAGATACACACACTGAACTATATATGTGTATATATACAGTACATATACATACACACACACACACACACACACACACACACACACACACACACACACACACACACACACACACACACACACATATATATATATATATATTATATATATATATATATATATATATATATATATATATATATATATATAATAGATAGAGAGAGAGAGAGAGAGAGAGAGAGAGAGAGAGAGAGAGAGAGAGAGAGAGAGAGAGAGAGAGAGAGAGAGAGAGAGAGAGAGAGACAGACAGACAGACAGAGAGACAGACAGAGAGAGAGAGAGAGAGAGAGAGAGGACGCGAAGAGGAAGCAGCGACGCCCCACCCTCGGAAATCCTCTCCATCTTCCCTCTCATTAACCCCCCCCCCCTCCCTCCGCCCCCGCCCCCCAACCCCCCCACAACCACCACCCAGGGAACTCAGGTGCTGCTGCTCTTACCTGCGTTGGTGAAGCGTGGGCTTGCGTCGCGGGCGTGTGTTCAACGCGAGAGGCTTCAACCGGACACGTGGCGGCAGATTGGGGACGCGTGTTAGTATATACAAGACACGTGTTAGTATGTTTGGGAAATGGTGTTGGTATGTCCAAGACGTATGTTAGTATGCTTAGGAGGCGTGCTAATAGCATCATCTCTTCGTCTTTCTACTCTTTCTCCTCTTTCACCAACGTCAAATATTTTCATTTCCTCCTTTTCCTTCTTCCTCTCTTCATTTTTTTCTTTACCTCTTCCTTCTATCTATCTACTCTTCCTACTCCTTCTTTCCTTCATTCCTCCTCCTCCTTTCTCTCCACTTCTCTTCTTGCTCATTTTTCTCTTCTTCCTCCTCCTTCTTTCCTTCATTCCTCCTCCTCTTTCTCTCACTTCTCTTCTTGCTCATTTTTCTTTCTTCCTCCTCCTTTCTTTCCTTCATTCCTCCTCCCTCCTTTCTCCCCCCTTCTCTTGCTCATTTTCTCTTCTTCCTCCTCTTTATCCTCTTCCTCCTTCCTCTCCTCTTCCTCCCCCCTCTCCACTCTCTCCTCTTCCTCCTCTTCCTCCTCCTCTTCACCATCTACCTCCCCATCCTCTAATCCACTACCTCCACCTCCTCTTCCTCCCCCTCATCCTCACCCCCCTGTTGCAGCTTCCGGCCAATGCAACGCCGTGCAACAAGTACACTTTACTGATCACGGGAACGACTGCACGACACCTGAACGACGCCGAATTAATTTGATTTTGATTTCCCTTCAATGAAATGGTCCGTTTTGGAATGTTCATTGAGGTTCGGTGATGCGTTTTGTTGTAATATACTCGGTTTCACGACGTTTGTTTATATGTTTTGTTGGTTGTTGTTGTTGTCGGTATGGTTTTGTTTATTGTTGTTCGTTTATTCTAGTTTCGTTGTTTTGTATTCATTTCTCGCTTTTGGGTTATTTTTGCTACTTCTTTTTTTCACTCAACTGACGGATTTTTTTTTCTGTTCTGTCCTCCAGTTCCGTCAGCAGCTAAAAATGGTTATAAATGCTTATATAGAGAGATTCTGATACGAATTGTAACAATGAACCTGTGACCAAAATTCTCATGAATGGAGACACGAAACCACTCCTATGGGATCCGCCCTTTAACGTTGTCCTTCCCGCGGTAAGTGGATAGGAAAATGGACCTTACGTACGCGTCGCTCGAAAGGTCAGGCTAGCTGAACAGCGGAAGTGATCTGGGCAGGACAGAGCTTCCCTCTCGAGCCACGCCCTGGGGTGAGGGAGAGGGAGAGAGGGAGAGGGAAGGGGGTGGAAAGGTGGAGGGGCGGGAGAGGGGGATGACAAGAGGATAGGCAGGGGGTCCGGGAGGGGAGAGGATAAATAGAGGGTGGGGGAAGGGGAGGGCTGACTACAGGGTGGGAGAAAAGGGAAGGGTTGGGTGATGGTTCTGGGGGAGAGCGAGGGGAGGGGGGGGGGGTAGCACAGCAGGAGAGTGGGGGAAGAGGCGAAGGATGACAAGAGGCTAGGGAGAGGGGAGAGGGGGGGGGCGTGGAGGATGGGAGGGGGTTGGAAGGAGATGAGATCGAGTGATATGAATAGTACGGATGTAGAGTTTTTCTTCGAAAACCGTTAAGGACGTTATGGCCGGAATTTCAATGGGAATTTCAGCTCTAAGATCCTACTTTCCTTTCTAAATCACGCGACTTTGACCTTCTGCTATTTGTCGTTGTTTAATTGCATTTCCAACACCAGAAGAGAGAGAAAGAGAGTGAGGAGAGAGAGAGAGAGAGAGAGAGGGAGAAGGAGAGAGAGTGAGAGAGAGTGAGAAGAGAGGAGAGAGAGAGAGAGAGAGAAGAGAGAGAGAGAGAGAAGAGAGAGAGAGAGAGAGAGAGAGAGAGAGAGAGAGAGAAGAAGAGAGAGAGAGAGAGAGAGAGAGAGAGAGAGAGAGAGAGAGACAGACAGAGAGACAGACAGACAGACAGACAGACAGACAGACAGACAGACAGACAAACAGACAGACAAACAGACAGACAGACAAACAGACAGAGAGAGAAACCGCGAGCGAGCCCCTGCCAGACTAAGCCTCGCCAAAGGGTTCGGACACAGCGGCCGCGGAAGTGACCTGAGCTCTTCCTCTTTACCTGCGCCGGACCACACGAAGCAAGGATGCGAATGAGGTCCCTCGACTTCGCCTTGTTTCAATTCCTCAAATCTATGTAGGCCTATTTTCTTCTTCTTTTTTAATCCGCATTGTTTCAATTCCTCAAATCTATATAGGCCTATTTTCTTCTTCTTTTTTAATCCGTCTTGTTTCAATTCCTCAAATCTATATAGGCCTATTTTCTTCTTCTTTTTTAATCCGCCTTGTTTCAATTCCTCAAATCTATATAGGCCTATTTTCTTCTTCTTTTTTAATCCGCATTGTTTCAATTCCTCAAATCTATGTAGGCCTATTTTCTTCTTCTTTAAAAAAAAACATTCGTAATTCGGCGATATATTTCGAAAAGAGGAATTCTTCTGAACGGAGAAAAAAAAAGAAAAAAGAAAAGAAAAGAAGCGGTGGTATTGTTTGGTATCCGACTTCCTTCCCGTGACAGGTGGGCATCG